ACAGGTTATATTGTATGATATTTTAATACAGGTTATATTGTATGATATTTTGATACAGGTTATATTGTATGATATTTTAATACAGGTTATATTGTATGATATTTTGATACAGGTTATATTGTATGATGTTTTAATACAGGTTATATTATATGATGTTTTCATACAGGTTATATTGTATGATTTTCCAGTTCGACTCATTTAGATTCCATCTAATTAGAAACGTCACAAGAATCCTCATGAGATACTCTGTGGCGAACTGAAAACAGACTGGTCCTACCATATATTAAGCTGCTTGTAATAATCAACTTATGTTAGACAGTGAGTGTGCTTCTCTGGTCTGATATTTGATGTTTCCAACCTGCTTATAAGACGCATGCTGTCATCGGCAAGTTTACGGATTTCTAAAGTTCAGAAAAAGACATTCGTGGTTTAGAGCTCGTGACCAGAGGAAGGGCAATTAGTCAGCAGCACCCACCGCCTATGCGGCTACTCTTAGTCGAATAGCGAGATTTAATTTCATAGTTGTAGCTGAAGGTGTGGAGAACCTCTTATGGCACATAGCAGCTCGAACCGTGGGTCTGTTGATTTTTAGATCACTCGTTCCTTTATGGCACGCAGATCAAAGACTGCAAACGCCAGTGAACTCTCATTGGCTTAACATAAGAGAAAATATTTGAGTTATTCAGGATCTTGTTTTTTTCTCGTGAGGTCAGGAGAACGACTTTATATTCGACATTTCCCTTATCATGCGTTAAAAATATGAACACTGTGTACTTAGTCCAAAATAGATTGAAACATATCTGTCAAAGAATATACAAACTTAAACTCTGAAGGAAACATTAATGAAACAAAATCAAAGTTTGATCATTTTTAACTAAAAAAAAAAGTAGGTTATACTCAATACCGACTAATATTTTCACGTGAAAAACAAAACAAAAACACACCTACTGCCGTGATACGTCATGCGTAATAACACGTGTATACTCTTATCAATAAGTACTTAAGGTTGTATACACGCCTAACCGGAGGAGAGAGAGATCTGCTTGCAATGTTTTTGGAATATCGAATACATTTGTGAAGATAGTGGGGAACTTTACAAGCAAAACAAAAAACAAATTTGTTTGTTATGGATTTCGCGCAAAGCTACACGAGAACTAACTGCGCTAGCCGTCCCTTATTTATCAGTGTAAGACTAGAGGGAAGGTAGCTAGCCATCACCACCCACCGCCAACTCTTGGGCTACTCTTTTAGCAACGAATAGTGGGATTGACCGTCACATCATATTGCCCCCACGGCATGTTTGGTGTGACGGGGATTCGAGCCTGCGACCCACAGATTGCGAGTCGACCACCCTAACCACCTGGCCATGCTGCCCCCCCCCCAAAAAAAAACAAGTATCACTTTACCTATATATTAACATAAGTGTTAAGTGGTTTAGAGCTGCCCCCAAACTCTTACTAGTTTTGGGTAGTGTAATATTAAAGCTGTAATATGACATAATTAAAAACTTGATATCTTGCTTAGAAGTTGTCTTTACGTTATTATATCATTTTAAAATTTGTACTAACGCTGTAGAATTAAAACTTTATATAGCTTTAGTGCTATACTATAAAAAGCTAGTAAGCACTTTGGAGTAGCGCAAGGTAGTTTACATAATGTTTTCAGGCCCATACACAGAATGTTTGAAAGGGGGGGTATAATTTGTGAGATCGAAATCCAACACATGTTGTGTGAAGAACAATCAGCAAAGTATGCAATTGCTATGGAGGTCTGAGAGCATGCGACTATTTCAAGCCAAAAATGCTAATTTTTCATCAAAAGAATGTAGACAATGCAGAAAACGTTAAGTACCATAAACAGCTGTGCTATAACTATTATATGATTTTCTTTACATCACAAAAATACGGGATTCGGCCAAACCTTCTCGAAGTACGTTTTTATTATAAAGGTCCATTGTTGCTTTTAGAAAAACATATTCAGTTTAAATCTCACCTCGTATTTATTCTTAGATTTTAAAAAATACTTACACAAGGAGAAAGACTGACAATTGTTATACAGGTTAATGAATGGAATACTGAGACTAGCCACCTGTCGGGGAGAAATAGAAAGATTGAGAACATTAACTACATCAAAACTAATTTGATACCTCATCACATTGTTATAGTCTATGTCATGTAGCTACGTCATCAGGTCATGCCTCTTAACAATATACCTGCAACGTTTTCATTACGAAAGGTTCTGGCGTAAGGTGCTCCTTATATGCTTTCCTTAATCAATCTAGTGTACGAAAAGTATCGGTTTCTAGCGCCCGTTTCAACATTTCAATCGTAAACAAATCCACGGTCGTTGCGTCCGGCGACTTGACGGGTATATTCTCGTATAGTAAATCAATATGCGTATTTCTTTTCGTACAAGGGATATCTCCATTTTGGAAATTATAGATCCCAAATCTAGACACATCTTTATGGTCTGAGTGTTTGAATATTTTGCGTTAGAAAGAGTTAATGCAAATCCTGCCCGAATGCAACAATTTTTCGATGACACCAAACAACCTATGAAACGCCAAACAATGTCAAAATGTATTTCTGATACATGCCATTATATCGGTTGTGGTTGTCACGTGACTTGCTTATTTAAAATATTTTATATATATTCTACTCAACTCTCTGCATGCATCAGTAAATATGAAAAGTCAAATAAAGTGATTTGTGTTAGGAGCAGCTAAAGGTTTGTTTGTTTTTGAATTTCGCGCAAAGCTACTCGAGGGCTATTTGCGCTAGCCGTCTCTAATTTAGCCGTGATAGACTAGAGGGAAGGCAGCTAGCAAACGCCACCCACTGCCAACTTTTGGGCTACTCTTTTACCAACGAATAGTGGGATTGACCGACGCATTATATCGCCCTCATAGCTGAAAGAGCGAACCCGCGACCCGCCTAATACTTACATGGTAGGATAATCGGATTACCGCAGACCTAATACTCATATGGTTAGATAATCGGATTACCGCAGACCCAATACTTACATGGTAGGGTAATTGGATTACTGAAGACCTAATACTTACATGGTAGGGTAATTGGATTACCGCAGACCTAATACTTACATGGTAGGATAATTGGATTACCGCAGACCCAATACTTACATGGTAGGGTAATTGGATTACCGCAGACCCAATACTTTTATGGTAGGATAATCGGATTACCGCAGACCTAATACTCATATGGTTAGATAATCGGATTACCGCAGACCCAATACTTATATGGTAGGGTAATTGGATTACCGCAGACCCAGTACTTACATGGTAGGATAATTGGATTACCGCAGACCCAATACTTACATGGTAGGGTAATTGGATTACTGCAGACCCAATACTTACATGGTAGGGTAATTGGATTACTGCAGACCCAATACTTACATGGTAGGATAATCGGATTACCGCAGACCTAATACTCATATGGTAGGATAATTGGATTACTGAAGACCTAATACTCATATGGTAGGGTAATTGGATTACCGCGGACTTAATACAACAAAAATGTTGGTTCTGACCTTCGAGAAGACTTTTTAAGAAACTGATACTATCCTAATTGATAATAAAGTTCGAAAAAGGCTATAAATTTAATAAAATCACGAACCACGGTAATGGTTCATAACAGGGATCGCCCATTTGTTCTTCTTTATTATTATTATTTAGTATTTTTCCGCCAGCCTACAGCAAAAATGACTGTGAGTATTGTAATAAAACCTGGGCAATATTACTAAACGCATCATTGCGCATTGTGTAAGGTAGTTTTAGACAGCCTAGGCGTTTGTATAACGTTTTAGCCATTTGTGTAACATGGCCCAAATCGATCACGCAGTGGTAAGAAAAAAACCAAAAAAAAACCTGCGCCCCTGTCAGCAGAGTCGTGTCCGAAAGGGCAGAAACTCTATATATAAATAAATGATACGCGACATCAATATAGTTGCAACAATAAGTTATTAATCGCTATGGTACATGTGTCATGCCTGCCATACAAACATTAAATTACACACATGGCCTACACGCAGCTATATACAATGTACATATGAATGTAGTAGATTATGAGACTCCGTATAAGCCATAGACTATATTAAAACGATTGGGTGTCAACGATTATACAGCCGATGTTATTTGCTAAGTAGTCAAATAAAGTCGCTGCTGCATACTTTATCTGAAACTAAACATTTACTAAATAAAATATATAGCTACAAAAATTCTGTCTCACTTTCGCCTAGAATCACCATCATTTTAGCCATCTCTTGCACGATTCTTGCTAATCCTTATAGTCACCATTAAAGATGGCTACTTTATCTGCAGTATCTATAAAATTCGAAATCATGCAGTATTGGCTATAATTCGACATTTAATATCAGCCATCACTGTGATTGCTGATTCGATGCTCAAAACTAAGCTTGGTGCTATCTTTTGAACTATTGTGAATATTATTAACGATGCAAATCTAACTTGCGCGAGGTTTAAAACTTTCCACACACATTTCTGCCCCTGAGAGAAATAGTTCTCATGCTATGAACCCTTTCTCAGCCAATCGCTGTTTTCTTAGACAGCCGTGGCAATGAAAGAATCTCACATACCAATAAAAACTTTTCTCAAACGAACTTATCACGTGGACCTACTTATTTAGCTTGCAAGGGCGCATGCCCATTGGTAGGCGGAGTCTGCACGTGCAGATAGAAGGGAAGAGTTCAGTTTCAACAGGTGAATGAGGTCGATGACAGGATTCGCTCCTCATTCTAAATAAGTCGCTCTCACCCCTCCCCGCCGGGCAGAGTAAAGTACTATAAAATGGGCAGTAGGCACACAGACTTCTCAATATTCAGGCAAATTTAGTAGCATCAACTAAGACGTAGTGGAGAAGAAAGAGTATTAAGAATACTTTGCTGAAAGAACTTTTATAGGAAGGGTAATTACGATAGCAGAAAAGAAAGAGAAATGGAATTTAGCTTTCATGTTTGGCTGTTTTTTCTGAGTTTTGGAATAATGTCCAATATTACAAGCTCTGCACCACAAGTGGACACTACTTCTGGTAAACTGTTAGGTATGACACTTGACACACCATTTGGGCATGTTAATAAATATCTTGGCGTTCCCTATGCTAAAGCACCCCTGGGTGAACTGCGTTTCCAGCCACCTCAGCCCTTGGACAAAGATGAAGTAACCGTTATAAGGGATTCATCCAGGTTCGGTCAAGTATGTCTCCAGCCACCTCACTTGAAAGAAGTAATCAGCCCTCTTCTCCTGACTAACAACAACGATCAGTCAGTGGTGAGTGAAGACTGTTTGACGCTGAATATCTACGTTCCCGCCGGAAGGCACCTAGGCGCTTTACCAGTAATGGTGTGGTTGCCAGGCGAAGGTTTCGACTACGCAGACGCTACCCAATTCGATGGAACTTTTCTAGCATTATTGGGACAGGTCATCGTGGTCACAGTTAACTACAGAGTATCAGTGTTCGGATTCTTGTCCACTTTGTCTCAGGAGGCTCCAGGTAATGTGGGACTTCTGGACCAGCGGCTAGCCCTCCAGTGGATTCAGCAGAATATTGGTCAGTTTAATGGAGATACCAACAAAGTCACTTTTTTTGGTAGGTTCTCGGGAGCCATGAGTATCAGTGCCCATTTAGCTTCTCCATTAAATCAAGGTAGCAACAAATTGTTCCATAGGGCTATTCTGCAAAGTGGGGTGGCAACTGGTGAATGGATTTTCGATAATGACCCTCTCAATGCTACTCTTCAATTAGCTAAGGCTTTAAATTGTGGTTCTACTTCTTGGAACACTGTAATTCAATGCCTACAAGAGATTCCTGCGAAAGTTCTGCTTAACAAGTCTTTGATGGTTCCCCAACGCTGGAGACCAGTTATTGATGGACACTTTCTCACTGATGACCCTCTTTCTGCTGTAAGCAAAGGTAAATATGTTCCCGTGGACGTGATTCTTGGAGTCAACAGTGATGAAGGCTCATTATGTCTTCTATCTTTATTTGCTCAAAAGTCTGAAATGTATCAAAAAATTCTGAATGGACAACTCACTGTTGAAGATTTTAAGCAGCTTTTGGAGAAGAATTTGCAAGATTTCTTGAAGAAGGACGATCAAGTCATCAACAAATTGGCAGCACACGAGTACCAACACTTAAAGAAGGCCAAACTTAGAGATAGCTACATGGACTTCTGCGGAAGTATGTACATCACAGCCCATACAGAACAGCTCGCCAGACTTCTGACCAGGCAAGGAAAATCCAAGGTATTCATGTACGAGTTCGTCCACAGGCCTTCTTTTTCTATTCACCCAGATTTTATCCAAGCAGCCCACGGTGATGATGTTCTCTTCACCTTTGGCTTAGTGCACCAGTTGTCCCATGTCCCAGACGAAGAACTGAAGCTGAGCAGAAGGATCATCACAGCCTTCTCCCATTTTGCTAGCACTGGGTAAGATTGGGGCATCTTGTTATAATATATTAATTAGTCTAAAAATGTACAATAAAAGTTATCAATAAGTTCAAGTAGGGGTTGTATTGAAGTTACACGCTGGTAACCAACATCTTTAAAGAGTTTTTGGAGAACCCATTTCTTAAGGAATACAAATGAACCTTTTAAATTCATGTAAATAAAACATGTTGAAGTGTTTTATGAATTACAATTTACTGATAAAATTGTGAATATAACGTATTATTAATGTGTTTTATTGTTTTTATTTTCAGTAATCCCAACCCACTGAACAAGGAAGAAAATCCTAAGTGGTCTGAGTACAGCGACACCCAGCGACAGGTTCTTGAATTCACTGTTGATTTGAAAAATTATTCTGTTAAAACATCTGATCATGAGAGGGATGTTGCATTTTGGTATAGTGTTGTCCCTTCTCTTCATGACAATGATCTATCGACTTCTTATTGTTCAACGACTGACATTAAACCGTCAGAGAGCTTCGGATTTATTGGTTTCGTTCTCAGTATTCAAGCAGCAGAATATATTATATTAGGCTTAGTTGCACTTACTTTAATATTGATTGTGGCATTGTTTGTTATATTGAGGTTACTTTGGTCGAGTAACGAAAGGAGAGGGTTTACTAAGTTTTAATGGTCCTAAATCTGTAAATAGAATGTGACATATCTTTGTATATTTTATAAATATTCCTCATAGCCAAATTCAAAAGTCATCATGCTTGTATTTCACGATATCTTGAAGTTATTGTTAATTTGTATTGGACAAAAGCTACGATACAGGCGCAGCATTTTGTCCCAACGTTCTTGTCATTGTCCAGAGGAGTTCCCAGAAATGTATTAGACTTTTTGTTAATTCTTATTTTATGTTGAAATAGAATATTCCACCAGATGTAAAATGAATTCAGTTATAACTGACATCCAACTGTAGTTAAGTAATTGACTTTTTAGAAAATTTACTATAATATCAGAAAGCATCCAGAATAAAACAACCTATAGGAAACTCTGAAAAAAGGGAGATTAACAGAGTAAGTTATTATGCAGAACATGAAAAAAATACATACCATAGTTATTACGTGATAATGAAAGTTTAATCCATAAAATAAGTTAGATATAAATATATGCAGACATAGGCGGCAGAACCGGGGACATGCTCCCCTCATCCAAGTTTTACCCCTTTTAATGGGCAGGAGAAACTAGTGTATACTAATTATCAAAGAACGTCGCTGTTTCAACTTTGAACTCGATGGACACTGTTAAAAAAGTCAATATGGTGCCCCCAATCGCCGATGTCCCCTAAATTCTTATTGTTCTGCCGCCTGTGTATACAGACTCTATATTTATTTGTTCCTCATTAGAAAATTATTGTATATTAAAAGAAAATTAGTAAGATGTTCTGACAAAGTAACTGCCGTATCATATTGTATTAAAAAAATCAAACGTACAACGTAGTGAAATGGTCACCAGTCATTGTTAATATCATTTTGTTCATGGATTTTAACGTACACTGAATGAAATAAAGATGTGATAATGAGTACGCTGAACTTTGGTTCATTTTATTTTCTTGAGTCATTCCAACAATGTATTATTACGACATCGGGTACATTTTTCTTATAATTCAATCCAACAATGTAATATTACATATAACATTTTTAGCCGTTGATGAGCGGCTCTTGAGTTGTTTTTTTTTTCAAGTACAAACTTTTAGCTCGTAGCTCTGTCATCTCTAGAGCGATTGGAGATCTAATTATAGTTTCCGACTCAGGAGGTCAAACCCTTTCGATTGATGTATTTTACCACGCCCAAGGTCTCATAGATTCATTTATTCTAATCCTGCATACAAGAATTTCAATTTGAGGGTAAGATGGAAGAGATCCTGATGAGTAATAAAATCGAATAGGGTATACGCGCGTCCCACGCTTGGTATTGGTGGCGCACAAACATATAGCTAATAAAAAGGAAAACAAAGGTCTCATAGATTAATTTACTCTAATCATGCCTGAAAGAATTCAAAGTGCCGAGGCTATTCAGGATTTCTTCTTGTTTTCCTTAGGTCAATCTTAATATGGTGCGTATTAAGTAGGCCATTATTGCCTTAAAGTGTTTATATTATTCCCTCAAGCTATAAATCCTTATTTTCACTCTCCTATATATTACAGCTTTTAGACATGGAGTTAAAATAGGGATTTGTAGCTTGAGGAAATGGTGTCAACATTATGTCTCAAACCTTAAGTTTTTGTTTACTTTTTTTTCCGATTACATTTTCACTTTAAGCTATATATCTTATTTCTGTATTTTTTGAAGATCATTATTCCTCAGTTTTAAATTAACAATTTTTAATAATTTTGGTTCATTAGTTTTTTATGCTCATCATGAACATAAATCTGTATAACAGCAATACTGTCCTATTTGAAACAGTTTAGTTTAATGAAATACGTAGGTGGTGTATGATGCTCTCTCGGAAAACAATGACAACCTTAGGATTGACTTCATGCAGATTGGATGGTTATTGCTCCTGATATCATTGCCACAATGTTATCATTGATAGTTGCACTGCATGTATGATCACTATGATATATGGTGATCAGCATACCACATGTTATGTATATGCTTGTAAAATATATATAGCTACTATATTTATAACCTGTAGCTATATGGGGAGTCTGTAAACACTGGATTGGAGGGACTATTGAACTATACTGAAATGGTGCATGGACTGGATTTTATAACCGCATGAGTTTTATACACGCATACACATGCAATGCACATTGGCTAGTATTTGTATCTACACATATACATGCAGGCTTTATAGTTGTCTTGTTAAGTTGTAAAGCCGTATATATAGTTAGCCATACGAATTTTTCAAGTTGCATAGATGCATGCATATATATTCAATACAAATATAAGACAATGTGTCATAATATAATACCATATGTATACAAATACACATTTTAAATATTTATTATAATTGTTATATTTCCCTCTTCCTTTCCGCTGACCATAGTAAGGTCAGTCACGTTTTGCTGCAGCTGGTCAGATTTCCTCTTAGAGTGACATTCTGCACTCTACAAGGTATAAAACGTGTTAGTCAACAATTATAAACTGATTATAGTAATATATCTTTATAATAGAGTTTGGGTCGTGACACTTCTACGACCCTCTTCCACTGTGACGACCCTAAACTTTGGTGGGCCGTTCACTATAACTCGGTAAATTATTTATTTGTTTAATTCAATAGCTCTCGGTAAACCAATGTCCTGCAGATTTTTGCATATGCCAATAAAATTAACTCAGCGAACAGACAAGGTTTTTTGTGTGTGCTTAATGAAAACTGAAATATCGACATTATTTATTGAAGAGTTGGTCGTTGTGTCATTTTTACTAGAAAATATCATATCTAATCTATATTTCTTATCTTTCTAAACGAAGTTCGTGAGCAAAGTGTTCCAATTCTGGGAAGTGTTGTTTATATGAGGAAAAATCTATCCATCAGATGACATCGAAAAAGTAAACAAACAATTAAGTCACTGAACTAAATGTTTAACATAATATCTTTAGAAACAATATATTGAAAGCTTATAAACATCAAGTTTTTGTAATATTTAGATATATAACATTTTAGTATATCTCATGAATCACTCTTAAGCCTTGTTTTAGTATACCTCAGTGAATTAGTTATTGTCCTTTATTTTAGTATATCTCATGAATCACTCTTAAGCTTTGTTTTAGTTTAACTTAGTGAATTAGCTGCTGTGCCTTATTTTAGTATATCTCATGAATTACTCTTAAGCCTTGTTTTAGCATATCCCATTGACCTATCTCTTGTCAGTTATTTTAGTACAACTCAGTAAATCAACTAGTACACCTTATTTATTTGAAATATACTAAGCCGACTATTGTTTCATATTTCTGCTTTATACATAAAACTGACAGGAGTATCAGATTCCCTAAAACACACACACTACATCAGGTCAAAGTTATAATATTAAACATTAAAACTTCTAAGATAACTAGAACTGAAAACTCTTTCGGCTTAATTAAAGTGATTAAACCTCGTATTAAACTCTACTCTTTTGCCTCCAGTCAGTTCTGGTAAACTCTGATACAGGAAACCTTCCTGAACCGTGTCTAAAATTCGGTTTTTAAATATTCTAACTAGTTAGTTAACTAATGTGATTTATTTTAAAGGACAATAACTAATTCACTGAGTTAAACTAAAACAATGCTTAAGAACGATTCATGAGATATACTAAAATAAAGGACAATAACTAATTCACTGAGTTAAACCAAAACAATGCTTAAGAACGATTCATGAGATATACTAAAATAAAGGACAATAACTAATTCACTGAGTTAAACTAAAACAATGCTTAAGAACGATTCATGAGATATACTAAAATAAAGGACAATAACTAATTCACTGAGTTAA